TGAAATCTCTTGGCCTTAATTCTTTAGCAGAAAGAGGAAGGGTGGTAAAGTAGAGACAGTACTCAGGAAAAAGCTTATGACAGAAGATTCAGAATATTCCAGTCTATATATGGCCAGAAGTTTGTTGACACTACATCCAATTCTATCAGGGGAGGCTCAATTGTGCCCTTATTCTCAGGTGCCTCACTAAGAAGACAGTTTGAAAAATATCAAAATTTTAAGTGCTCTGGTGATTCTTACATACTGAATTCTGGTAGGCACTGTTATAGAATATATTCTTTAAAAGATTGTGAAAAGACACAATTTCAGGCTGAGAAAATAACAGAAACAGTAGGTTTTCTGAGTCCTGAGCTAAATATATTCCCTTCCAGGTCTGGCATAAGCTCTGTACATTACATTCCAGGGTCTGTGAGAACACAGCAGAAGTCAGGGGAGCCATGGAGGAGTCAGAGGCAAGGCAAACGTGGCCAAAATCCCCTCAAGAGCCGGAGATGTCCAGTTCCAAGGGTTTTTTGGCTACTGATGACTGAACGCTGTTTTTACTGTTCACATATTTTCAATTGAATGCATTTTAAAAAGAGATGTTTTTATTTATGTGTATGCATGTGTGTCTGTGTATATGTATGTGCACCCATATTGGGGGGGGCTACTAGAGGCCACAAGAGGGCGTCAGACACCCTTGAGCTGGAGCTGTAGGCCTTTGTGAGCTGCCTGACATGGGTGCTGGAAATCAAGCTTGGGTGCCCTACAAGAACAGTAAACTCCAGCTCTGAATGTATTTTTAAAAACTCACCCTCATCTGGAGTCACAGATGCTTATTACTAAAGGCATATAGTCCTGTTGCAATAAAATTAGAGAACCTACTAAACATGCCTCTTGTTCTGGAAAGTAGAAGAAGTGAGTTAACACTTGTGTCTAATCTCCCCCTTCACTCAATCCTTTAGGCAAGACTATAGAAACATGAAGAATTCCCCACTTCTTTAACAGAGTAAGAGGTACCTAGGTGCGAGGACCTGCTATGTGCTAAAATGTGCTAGGTGTGCAGCTTCAGTCAGTAAGTCAGTCAGTCAGTCAGTCAGTCAGTCAGTCAGTCAGTCAGTCTGTCTGTCCTTAAACCCTTACATGGTAGTTACTGTTAGCCTGGAACTCAGCAAAGGACTTGAAGTATGATTAGACTCCATCCACACAGCACCAGGGACACGCACTGAGGCCACCGGGAGGAATTCTGTTGCCTGTGTCTTCTGCATCATGTCAGAACATACAGTAGTGGCCATTCCTTTAGGAGTAGCTCCAGTCCCAATCTTCCCCGACACTCCTCATTTTTAAAGTGGTTTTTTGTTTCACGGTTCAGAATTTACACAGCTTTTCATCACTGTCTATCATGTGAGCTGGGCAGCATGTTGCCATGGATAGCGGAAACTTTCCTGATTCTCTCTTCCTGCCTCTCCATAAACTTAAGATACATCTTAACCCTGAAGGTGTCTGAAATTCAATGAAATGTGGACCAGACTACTTTGATATTTAACAATCTGGACATGTCCCACAGTATGGACGTGTGGCAGAAAGTTCATGTACATTGAATACACATGTGCTCCACTACTATGGTAAAAGTCTGTGATTCAGTGGGCCCAAGTGATGAAACAGAAGTGACCCACTCCCCTCCTTGGCTAAGGGAGGTGAGTGGGTCCCCTTCCTCTCTACCATAATGTGATGGGACCCAGTCGGTATCTATCTAAGCTCAACTGACAAGAGGGGAAGGCTCTTAAGAAAGTGCTGACACTGTAAGTAGTGTCCCTGGAGTGCTGCCTACCTTCTCCCTCTGCCTCCTGGTTCCCCACATCAGCAAGCTCACTCAACCTCACAAGTTGTCCTGTGTGCTGACTGGCCTGGGCAGGGTGAGGAGCTACTTCAGGAGGAGGACCATAAGGAACAGCATGGGATTTCTAGTTTCTGAGTGGATGATGCCAGGAGAGGTGATCAAAAAGCAATGGTCATTCCTCAAGATAGTTTCTCACTCAAGTTTCTGGCTTCCCCAGAAGCCCTTAGGATACCGGTCCCCAGGGCAAGATACACTCCAAGAATTCTCATTCTTCCGAGAGTGCAATGCTCGGGGCACTCCTGAGTTGTCAAGACCATCTTGTCTGTGAAAATGCCATATGGCACCTCCCTGAATAGAGGAACAAGTGAAGAGAAAGACTATTTGTTTGATGTAGTCAGATTCTCTGGAATTTAATCCTATATCCTCTTCATGGCTGAGCTAGCCATTCAAAATTAAAATGAACCTTTCATCCATGTGTATCATAAATGGGCATTTATCGGGATTATATGATTTTGCAATCCATCTGAATATGTAACCAGGATTTGTTTTCTTTCCGTTTCACTATGTAATTACCATGCAACAATAACAAAAGTGACAAGTTTGAAGACCAGATAAAATGCTGCAAATTGGCCAGTAATGGTGATATTTCCTCATCTTCTGGAAAATCCATTTATTCTCTCTCAACAAATCAAGGCATTGTCAGCCCATACTCATCTTGTGGCCAGAGGGGCTCCACCAATTTCTGGATGTGAGCAAGTCCTGGAATGCAGATGAGGCGTACTAACGAAGGCTTTCAGCGCAGGCAGCTGGGCTTTGGTTGCCTCAATTTCTAAATCATCCGTAATGGGGCCAAGACCTCCCAAGCACTAAAAAGAGAGAGCTGGCATGCTGGACAAACTGTTAATTTTTTCCCGAAGAAGCTGCTATATTGCACATCTGTCACTGCGGCGCAGACAATTACTCACTGCGTCAGGGAGGGAAAATCTGCTGCTTGTTTCTATCTGGGTTGTTAAGGGGCCTCATGGAGAAACAATAGCCCAAGAGTCAGAACACACTGGCTTCCAGTGTGCATGGCAATGCGGCCCTCAGTCTGGGGACTGTCCTGTGATTTATATCATGTGGAATAGACCAAGATGTGCTTTCAAAGTAGGAAAGGCATTGAATCCGATAGGTGTCAGAAGATGTGAGTCAGGCATCAAGGCAGGCACGGTAACCCAGAGCTGCACACACTACAGCAGAGTACTGTTAGAGGTGCCACGCTTTCTGGTTTTAGACATTCCACCTTTAACACATGCTCCCAAGGGTTCTCCGCACACCTCAACACTCTTAGGAATAACATACCTCATCCATAATGTACCACAGGCCATCCGCATACATTCTGTAATACACTAGAGCCACCAGTGTGGAGTGTCAGAAGCCCAGTTTGCTACTCAGTCAGTAGAATCTGCTTCTCCTTTTCCCGTTTTTTTCTGGGTGAATTTGTCCATTCCAACTGTGAGGTTCTGGCTTACGAGTGAATTCACATCGATTAGGGACCTCACAACAGTTTATTTCTGACAAGTCTATGTTCAGTTTGTTTTATTTTTCATTCCAAATTTACTAAAGAGTGTTGTATGAAGAAGAAATTAACATTTCTTGGAAATTTCTTTTTAATTTGGTTTTTATTGAAGCAGAGTTTGCTGTAGGCTTGAAACTCATTCTATAGCTGAGGCTGGTCTTGAACTCCTGATTTTTCTAACTAGATTTCACATGTGCTAAGAATACAGCCTTATATCACATCTGGCCATTGGAAATTTCATAGTAACTTGAAAACAGACTGAAGATAACCAGGCTATGTCTATCTGTGATCACATTCTAATACCCTTCAGGCAGAAAAGCCAAGGATCCTGCTCACTGCTAAAGTGTGTGATTTATTTGGAAAGGCCAAACCAAGGTGGGGGTGCCAGAAACTACAGAAACACAAGACACCTTTCTGTTGTTGGCCACCTCAGTCCTCTAACTCGAAGAAGTAAACAGCTGAGATAACGGTGATGTGGCAGGAGGGAGGGCTGAGGATACAAGGATGATTTAAACTATGTAATGGCAGTAGTACAGAGAGGATTCTCAGTGGCAACAGTGGACCACGATACTGGCAGCTAATGGCCACCTCACCAGACCCAGAGGCAAGTCTCCTTAAGGTGTCAGATGTGTAAAATGGGTCCTTGTAGAAGAAGCCTTCATGGTCACCTATTGGCTAAGTTTATATTACTTCAAGCCTGCTACACTGATGAGTATTTAGTGCCTGCTAGATTTAAAAAAAAAAAACCTACTTACTGTAAAAACTCTACTCACTTTTGTGGAAGAAAACCCTCTTATCCCAAAAGTGAAGCTTCTTTTCTAGCAAAGTAAACTTAATAATCTGATGGATACCACAAAATATTTCAAGTGCCTGAGCAGGTCAGGAGAGGTGAGCCATGCTGCATTGGTCACAAGATATAGCTGGAGAGAGAATGGGAGGTCAGCTCATTCCAATTTCAGAGAAACAAAAATAGGGACGTGTGGTTGAACAGGTACCAATCAATTATGAATAAACTTGTGAGTAAGATACACTGCTAAATTTTTCTTAAAACATTTTTTTGAGACACTGGGAATTCCCAGAGCTTAATAACAATCAGCTGTCCTATTAAATGTTAACTGGCTGTCATTACAGTGGGTCACACACAGAGCCTCATGCAGGCTATGTAAGTACTCTACCACCCAGAGAATATTTAACAGTGTTTTCATCCCAAGTTTTCATGACTCTGAAGTTAGGAGACAAAGTGTAGAGACATGGTGTACAGGAGAGTGATTGTCTGGACAGAGGCCTTAGATTCAATCCCCATCACCGGCAAACAGGACAAACACGGAGAGGAACTAACAGAGGGTTAAGACGGAAACACACCAACAACAGCATCAGAAATAATGTTCTCACTATACTTTATTCTTTCACTTCTTTGTTGAACCAATAAATTTTCTACAAAAAAAAAAAGAAAAAAAAATCAAAGTATTCCTTGCTAACAACTTCATTTTACAGTACTAATGTAAATCATTTCTCTTTCTGAAAGACAAAATACAAGTTAAAATGTTTTTAAAAGTTTTTCAACGATTACTCGCTTATGAAACATCTGCTCAAAATGAAATGCACTGAATACCAATTTGAAATGTTGAACATGAATGAAGGGCAGAACTTCTCAATCATGTCTGTACACTGCAAACAAACATGGGCTGCAATGCAACCATGTGTACACATAATCAAACATGCTCATTTAACCCTGCCGTCTCACATTTTCGTCTGCTTAATCACTATAGACAGGAGTCCCAAACAACTGTGTTTAAACATGGTGCCCAATTTACGGATAAGTTACACTTAGCAATGGCTTTCCATTGATATTTATTTTTGAGACAGAGTATCATTATATACCCCTGTCTGTCCTGGAATTCACTACATAGTCGAGGTTGGCTTTGGACTCATAGCAATCCTGCCTCAATCTCCCAACTTCTGGGAATATAGGTGGGTGTTAACATAGCTGGCCACTTTTAAATTCACTAGATCATTTAAAAACAAAAGAAAAACAAATTTTAAGGGGAACTGAGCCTTAGACATTTTATTTAGGCAAGGAAGAAGGGAGGAAATAACTGCAGCCCACACCTGATCAACAACAGAGACACACAATGTGGAGTCACACTGCAAACACAGATATGCTTAGATTCTTTGGCCATGGTAGGGAATGAATGGGATGGGTAGAGACTCTAACTGACTAGCTTGCAGAACAGCAGGGTGGACTCACAAGGATGCAGGGGACATCTCTTAAGACTATGATAAACATTTAAGATCATGAACTCCACTGATGTGGGCTCCAGGAACTGATTTGAACTGGCAACGATTTATTAATCTCTATTAAATGTAAACCAGTGGGATTCATGTCCCAAGCAGACATTTGATTCACATGAAAGTTTCCGATTTTAATTGTGTTTACTTCTCAGCTATGGTCAGGCATACCAGAGCACTGTATCTTGCTGTTCTTTACAAGGACTTGATTGAATGTTGAAGGATGCCTGTGGGCAGCTGGCAGTGGGCTGGGGACTACTGGTTCCCCTGTAAGTGCTGGTCATCCACTCTGAACAGATAAACACTAGTAGAATAAGAACTGTCCCCAGTCACCCGTGAGTCAAAAGTTTTCTTGTGTGAAAGTAGAACTCAGGTGTCACAGCAGCTTGTGAGTACCTTGCTGCAGAAGCCACAGCAGAGGGTTCACACTGTCTAGAGGGCAGTGATGGAAAGTGCTCAGAGAGAGCAGTTCCGGAGCCCCACTGCTCAGCACATGGGCTGCTCCTGTACATCCTCTAGGATGCCACTTCCTCTGGAGCCTGCAGCCAAGCGTGCAGTGGCCTCACTGTTTCTCACTGGCTTGAAATTGAGTCTTTAAAAGTCCTCTCCTAGGGCTTTACAAGACCATCAAGAAATAAAATTCAAAGACGAGCACACAAGTTTGGAACAGACCCTTGAGTCCAGTCTCTTCCATCTTCCTGCCTACATGAATACAGTAAGCATTTAGAAAGACAGCTATGAAAAAATGGCAGTTTGCTAAAGAGGAGCTTGTTCCAGCAGCAATGCTTTCCCCAACACAGTGTTCCGAGAGGCACAAACGGCTGTCCAGCTGTGTCCTAGACGGCCCACTTTTTACCACGGACACTTCCAGGGAAGACAGTTCCTAGCAGAAATGCAGACATCTGTCAGGCTGCAGAGGCTGCATTTTTATAAAGGACCACATAGAAAAGGTCTGTTAATCTACTTAAAGCTTTTCTCTTGCCTTAAATATTTTAAAAATTTTTTCAGTTTACAAAATTGAAGTTTATACTGCTTTGTCCAAGGACATACAAGTACGGATTATCACAACCTTTTCTGAATAAAGGAGGCCATTGTAAGTGATAATAATTATCAGGGTTTTTAATGAAGATTATAATAAATCAGTATTTTCTGAAAAGAACAACTTAAATTTTCTGACATTATGAAGACAATGACTTAGAAATGGAATGAAAGGAACATAGTGTTTCGCTTCATTTTAAAGTGTTTTAGTCTGAGAGTGACGGGTCCCCTCAGTTTCTCCTGTTCTTGGTAAGTGGATTAGGCCACTACCAGACATCTCAGTTTTGGGAAAAGCTATTTAAATCTTCAAATAAACTGACTCAAGAGTTTAATAATTTACCTCAGTGACTAAACCTTGAGCCAGCCACTCTTCTTCATCTTGGAGCTGATCCTTAAACCCCAGGCTTTGGGAAGAGGTAGACATCTGGAGGGGAGGGTTTACAGTTCAATCAGGATGATTTACAAATACGTTTTCCTTTAGGAATGACTTTGTGTCCTAACTGAGGTAAAGTGTATAAGCTCTACACTGGAGTGACGCTGACAGTGCTCCTGTGATGACGACAATGATGATGACGATGACAGCAGCAACAGTGACGTTAGCTCTTGTCAGAGGGAACACTGATTGCTATCTGTCCACTGTGAATTTATGCTACACTGTTGAAAAAAGTAATGGGCATCATTGTTACAAACCCTCATCAGAGCTGAAGCAAAGGAATGTGAGCTTACCAAGCCTTCGAAGATGTGCTTACGACCCCTGCATGTGGGGAAGGGAACCTGTGGGGAGGGGGAAGGACAGAACTACTTAGTGTAGGCATGATGAGAATGTGATCCTTTCCGACCTGACCCAGTGGGTATGCTCGACTGTCCCAGCATCACACACACGCATGGACTGAACAAGACAGCAGAAAGAACTGATGTCTAGGATCAAAATAAATAAGAGACCAACTGTTCATGTCTAGAAACTGCTGGAAACCGAGGAAACGTAAAACAGTGAGGTTCGTACTTCAGCACCGTGAGTTGTGACGGAATCCCATTTCTATCACTGTGGCAGGATGCTAAGCAGCCTAGGAGCTTGCTGGAGGCAACGCCAAGGTCAGCTTCAACCAAGTAAGCTCTATGATCATGTTATAACAATGGGGCACGGCAACAGAAGCTGCAGGCTCTCTTCTCTGCCTTTCTGCTCAGGCAGGTTTTCCTGATGCAGGGGCAGGGCTGGTAGGAGTGCTTTTTGGTAGAGGAAATCCAAGTCCTAACCCTTTCGGCCTCTGAATGGCTTGAACTGGCTCCGAGATCCCTCTGCCATCTCGTCCAAGGCCTGACCCGGGTGTCCATCCCATACTCTGAAGCATGCGGTTCCCGATGTTGCTCTCTAGGATTGGCTGGGCATTTTCACCCACAATTCCTGAAATGAGAACACGACAGCCCACAAGTGAAGATCTGCTCAAGGTTGAGAAGCCTGAGCCCTGTTTTCTCATCCATCACACAGGCATCCTACAGAATCTACTGCCTACCTCATATAAAAGGCACAGCTCAGATAAGCTCATGTATATGAAGAAGGCTTGGCAAACCAGGAGGAACTCCAAACCTGAGTGGGTTTTCATTGCTGCATCACGGGCTGTGGTAAAAATAGAATTTATCCTGCAATATCTTACTTTTGCCCCAGATCCCGAACGTAATAAAACTGAACCAAACAAACCCAAAACATAACTGGTTGTTCCCTAAATTCCTATGAATTAGTGTACACTTATGTGTGCATGCCTCAGAGGTCAGAGGCTGACTTGGATGGTCTTCCTCTAGCATTCTCTATTTGACTTTGTGAGCCAGCATCTTTCTCTTAGCCTGGAGCTCAGTGGCTATGTAGACCCCAGGCCAGCGATACCGTGGGCTCCTCTGTCTGTGTCTAGCATAGGGGGTTACATTGGAGCATTGAGCTTTAACACTAGAGCTAGCATTCTGAACTCAGGCCCTCAGGCACCTCTCTCCAAACCTGGAATAGTCTTGCTTCTCTCCTCCCTTATATTCAGTCTGCCACGCCCCTGAACACTTCCCCCCTTCTCCTTCCAGGCCCGTGTTTTCATGGCTACAGAAGCAGGTAACACAGAAACAACACAGAAGAACACTGCAGAGCTCATGGCAGTCTTTCCTGAGATCTGAGGGACAAAGGTCTCTCTCTTTAGAGACCCACATGATGCCTGTGGTGGCCCACCTCAGTCCCTGAGTCTGGGGTGTCTCTGTTCTGGAACATGGACATAGGTTGAAATGGGCCACTTAACACGAGTCAGAAGGCCCTCCTTACCTCAGCTCTGCTATCTGTATTCCACATCCACTGAGGTTTTTCCTCCCTGACTGAGGATGACAATAGCAACTTCTCTGGCTTGTACCTTTCTACCACCACAAAAAAGCTAGGACTCTGTCCTTCTCCTCAGAGAGCCTCCTAAAGGAATAGGAGAATACCCAAGCACTGACAATGACAATAACAAGCACTCAAGGGGCTCCCGACGTAGCACTCTCCTAGCACTCGTGTGGGTGGGTTGCACAGGTGGAATTTGTTACTGCTCTTTAAACTGTGTCCACACATTTGTATGTGCCGTTTGGTATGTACTTCCTAGTGAATAAGAAATATCAGTGTAGAGTCAATGGCACACTACCTGGCATTCAGGAACTGGAAGTGGGTTTATCTCCCTGCCTTGAAGAATCAGGCGAAGTGCTTCCCACGCACTTTAAAAAGACTAACCTCCTCTTATTTACTACAGTGCGATCAACTAGTCATTAAACCATTTAGCCAGCATTTCTGCATTCTCTATCTTCAGGGCTTCAGGACAAGAGAGACAGTGATCACCACTTCTGAAGCTCACTCCACTCCACAGGATTAGGGTATTACAATAATCAGTGATTATATGAATTACTGGCTAATTGAATCAGAGGTCAAGGGGCTGGAAGCATACCTCATGGGTAAAGTGTAAGCCTCTGTAGGTCCGATGCCCATGAGAGTAAGAAACTCACACCTAACGTGACAGAAAAGGCCTGGCACAACCTGTAGCTTGAATGGCAACAACTGATCCCCAGGACAGTTTCCTGGCTAATGGGATTTCCTGGCTAACCCGATTTCCTGCTGGAATTGCTACACAAGACGTATCATTTATGAGATTGTGAAAAAGACTAGGATAGATGCAATGAAAAGCAGAAAAAATATAAAGAAAACATCTGGTCAGAGTCTTAAAGATCTAAGTTTTAATTTCACAATAGGTGGGGTGGCCACCTGGAGCCTGTGGGGGCTGCTGAGCAGGTGTCAGGTGACACTGTGTGACTCTACACACTCAGCTCTGGCTTTTCAGTGAGTGCAACAAGTTAATTTAACTCTGTGGGTAAGCTGAACTGAGGCCAGAGGTCTGATGCTGCTCTAACACATCTGGTCACATAGATGTGTGGGACATCAACCTGCAGAAATTCAGCCTTAATAAAAAAAAAAAGGGAAAACCATGAGGCCAATTTAATGCATCTCTGGAAATTGCTAAGTGATGGTCAAATTTAGTCCTGAGTGCCACCGTGAAAACAATGTCTACCTGACTTCAGATTGCTGGTACAGAAGCGTGGAGACCTACAGGGCTTGTTCTTCTTCCAAAGGTACCTTTTTTATAAAGTGGTGAAGAACTTGTTCTTTCTCAGTGTTTAGAATGGTGTTTAAATTTTTTTAACTCCATAAAAATAGTCAAAGCAGCATGTTGGAAGGAAAACACCAAAGGACCCTGATTCCTAAGTGCAGTGCACTCCCATAAAGAACCAGTGGAAAAGACAAAGAGGATCTGTCAAAGATCGGATCTGCTCTCTCTGCTTGGGGTTGTGGCAAGCGTAGCCTGACTTAGTCCTTGCTCCTGATCCAGGCTCTAGCCTGTCTGCTGGGTCCCCTGAGGCCACTGCAGGTGAGCACGTCCTCTCCCCTCAGACCCTCCACAGAGCAGAGCTTGGTGGAGGGATTCACTTGCGTAATTGGCTCAAGAGACCACAATCCTGCATTGGCCTCTCAGCCACTAATCTATCCAGCTGACTGCAAGCCTAATTGGCAGCTTGTTGAGTAATTTGGCTCCTAAAGTGTTGTATTGATGTCGGATCAGCAGCCAGTGGAAGGGGAGGTGAAGAGCTACTTCCCATATAACGCAAGCTCCACCTGTCTCTGCCCCTACTCAGAAAGCAGTTATTAGTTCTCCCTTATTCCTTCCAATCCCTTTGCTAGTCAGCCAGGGTCAGAGCTATTATTATTACCAATGTTAACAAAACTGTGAGTAGTAATTATGTCCTCAGCATCTACTTTAGGGACAAGAGGAGAGAATCTGGGAGGCATGACCACTGTTTGTCAAATGCTTCAATTATTTGACCTGTAATATCACACACATTTTTCATGTAAATAAAAAACAATCTAATTGGGTGCTTAAATATGTATTTCCCTTCTTTTCTTTTTGCTTTACTATATTTTGAGGCACTGAGGACAGAACCTATGGCCTTGCTAATCCTTAGCATCCACTTGCTCACTGCATGTGCTACCGAGCCCTGTACTTACATTTTATATAATGAAAATTATGATTTAAATTTATATGAAGGTATAATGTAAAACTAGTTTCTTTTCTTAAGTGATAAAACCATAAAAGAATGACGTAATAGTCTTTTACTGTGTTTGGAGGAGTGTTTTTGTTTTTTTTTTTTTTGTAATGGAGTTTTAGGTTATAACAAACTAAACAGTTCAGACATCAGTAACTGAAAACAGCACTAATCTCAGTGCCATAGAGTGGAGGCTATCAAAGTGTGGTTGGTACCATATCTCATCAAAACTATTTAACATGTTTATCATCAAATCCTTAAAAGGCTTGGACTTGTACTGACGATGACACCCAGAGCCAACAGCACTGACCCTGCAGAAGAGTGACCAGCATCTTCCTGCTCTGCTGCTCACTGCTTCCTCGCCTTACAGATGGCTTTTCTCAGACTGTAAACTCACCCTGATGCAAGGCCCTCACTTTAGAATGCCTCCATTTATAACACTGAATCCACAGCCTCTGCTGGAGACACACACTGGCTTTGGTATGTGACTTTGAAGGTGGCAGAACGAGCCACACATTAAAAAAGTAAGTATGTAACCATATCAATATTCATTTCACATTGTCGATACTCAACACTAGGGGAAGGAGCAGGAAGTAAGCTAAGGCACTGAAATAAACTTGGTGTTCCTGTCACCATTAGTAACTTTACACCCAACAGCACTGCTGGCTGGTGCAGACTTCTAGAGACTGAATTCCGCTCAGCACTCTGGCTTGGAGGGCTGGAGGGTGGCCCCACTTTAGCAGCAGCAAATCAGATAGGGGGTTGATTTTTGACAGCTCTGCGCGTCTTACGGACATTACCCTTTATCATGAATATATTTGCACAACTGCTCATGATGAGAGTCATCCACTTACACAGATCCAATGTGGGATGGCAAACTACACGTTCCCAATTGTACATTTCCAGCAAGCTTTTGGTAAGCTCCTTCTACATCTGCTATTTGTTTTCATAATAAATTACAGAGAAATCAGAGAAGATGATAAACAATATCCACCTGTCGTAGAAGAATGAAGATTCTTCTTCCCTCCTTCATCAGATTTTTTTCTATTCTTTTTTTAATTTTCCTCATTTACATTCAGTGCTGACTAAAAGAAAGGAACCCAAGAGTGCATCTCAGGGAGGTATGTCTTTTGGAAGGTCTGCAAGGACCTGTGAACACAGCAAAAACATACGGGTGTGCATGGTATACACAGTTATGTGTAGGTACATATGCACACAGCCCAGAGGAAGACATTAGGTGTCCCACTTTATACTCTCTACCTTATTCCCATGAGACCCCGCCTCTCTTTGAGCCAGGAGTGTGGCCGGCACTAAACAAGCCCCAGTGACTGACCCTGAACCTCTTGTCTCTGCCCTCCACAGCTCTGGAGTTAGCACTCCTGACAGTGTCTAGCTTTACAGGTGGCTGCTGGGAATCTGAGGTCCTCGTGTCTCCACAGCATGTACTGTCACCCACTGAGCCAATTCTTTAGCCCCAAGAATATTCTTTCAAGAGGAATTCTACAGACCAGTACAGCCTGGGACATTTGTAGATGTAAAATATGCTGTATTCTGTGACTAACTCTATTCACCATGCCTAACTGCATAATCCGAGTGTATTTCTGTCATGTCCTTTCTGACTGTCTCTAGAGAAGCACCTTCACTCAGGCTGCATCAGTGTTGGAGGTGTTCAGCTGAAATCAAGGACTTTCCCTCAGCTGCCTACATCTGTTCCTCTTTGAAAAGACTGCTGCACACAGGTTTGAAAAATACACTTAAAATGGGTGACACAGCATTCTGAGTAACTAAAAAACAAAAACAAACAAACAAAAAAATCAAATCAACACCACCACCACCACCACCACACATTAAATAATTATGAACTTTATTCCATGAGTTAAAGTCTAGTAGTAAAATGAAAATCTCAAATCTTAAAAAACTCTCAACAGACTTGAAGGACACTATTTGGAATATGCTGGCACAAGCTTTTGACAAAAGACTATTTTGGGCTACAGCTAAGGTTTCTGTCTAAATTCTTCATGGTTTCTTTGATGTCCTGAGCTCTGAAGTAAGAACGCTCCTGTACTAAGAACTATGTGATTCTTCCTCACGTACTGCTCCTGTGCACTCCACATAGGTGCTGTGTGTCAGGGTGCTTCTACTTTGTCACTGTGACCGCGTAAGACCATAAGTAGTATCTCTAGGACTTGTCCTTCTGTGGCTTCCCACTGAGGTCAGAGTTCAGGGGACCACTCACTGGGAATGGGGATGTTGAAGAATCCTGTCTCGGCCTCAGGAGACACTAGAAGAACTTGTCATATCTATTAGACCTAAAATGTCACTTCATTTCCTTATGGATAGATACTATACTTTATAAGGATTTCCTGAACATTCTATGTTTCTCCATAGTAATAGCTGGATGCATCTTCTATAAATTTCAGACACATAATTGGGTTGAAGTCAGTATATGCAAGAGAGGTCTCTTTTTTTTTTTTCATTCATTTTGTATTAGTGTGTGTTAATTATATAAAATAATGGGTTTTGATGTGACATCTTTATAACTGCATATAATGTATTTTGATAGGCCCTGCTCTCCTATTACTATCTCTTAACACTGCCCACTCCTTCCTCGTAGTCCTTTCTTCTTTTGGGACATGATCCTTTTGATAACTACATGGCATGGCATTTGTGACAGATGGCCTCTTTAGCTTTGTCTCTGATATTTTCTAGAGATAATCAGGCAATACCTATTAGTGAACAAAAAAGGACAAATATTTTTATAATATCCTGTGAGTTCACTCACATTGTATGTGGGAAAATTCTAATCAGAATATGGCTGCTGAGCCCACAGGAATAGCACTGAAGTGTACTAACACCATGAATCATATTCAAACCTCAGCTTCTGCCTGGAAGGGTAGGAAGGTTATTTCAGGAAGGAAGAGATGGTGGGTAGGAGGTAGGAAGGTAGGGACAAGAGCCAAAGGAGGCCTTCACATATCCTCAGAATATGTACACACTCAGGATGCTAAGGGCATTACTGTGAAAAAGTAGGCTTTAGCAGTCACACAGTGACTCTCCAATACCCACCTCTCAGACCTAGTAATCACAAAGACTTCGGCAGTGAGCTATCTGTCCTCTCATCTGTTTAGGCCGTTTCCCTTGCAAGTCTGAAAATGTCCTCAAGCCTGCCAAAGACGCAGTTGTGGGTTTCTGTATCTCTGCTCATCCCACCCATTTGAGTGAGCATACAGCATGTGTCTCATTGATCAGCTATTTGCCAGGTCCACATGATGAACGGGCTATACATGCTAACATAAAGACAAAAACCTGCCTTCCAGACTCTTGTAGCCGTCCTCTCTTGCAGGAGGGATTATGAACAGCTCGTGTTTTATTTGTGGTGACTTACGTGCATCCCAAGGTGCCTCACTCCAACCCGTTCTGTCTCACCTGCTGCTGTGGGTCCAGGCAACGGGGCAGCCTTTCTCCTCCTTTTGATGTCTCCCGTGCACAGGGATCCTAAATGCATGCTTGTTTGCCTACAAGTAATTATCAGAAGAAATAAAAACTATTAACAAAGGAGAGGGAATGACATAAATACATAGCTTGTATAATCTGAACCTAAATCAAAACATTCTCATAGTAAAACCACCAATCTTGTTTATATCGAAACAGAATTACGCTTGTTGACAAGCGTTCAGCAGCTAAATGCACCATCATAAATTGTTACTGGGATGAATAATATAAAAGGAATGCTTTTTAATTTTCAAAACTGGCAATCTTTCTGGCTCAACATAAAATCAAGCACTGTTGCTTCTGACAGGAAAATAGCGAAGATTAATTATCTAAGGAGATCACAATATTGTTGCTAGGTTATCAATGGTTGCTAATGCTTTACTGTCAGGACGACATTTATTACAGAAAAGTATGATCAATTTCTTTTAGGATATTATGCAGCAGTGAATTCTTTTAAAACATTTTAAATAGATGGAAGGAATTGGTGATGCTGTCTTATAACTCACACAATTAGAATGGTTTAATTATTTACCCGTCAGGAGAGAACACATTGAATGCATAGATGCACGGCTGCTGCTCTTAGACAGCCTCACATGACCTAGGTTACAGATATGCAGAGACATGATACACAAGAACTCAAGGCCAGCCTTCTTAACTTTTGAACCAGTGAGCCTGTTATAATAACCTAATTCTAACTTTAGCCTTCTAGATTTAAAAAGTTTTATAAAAATAGTGGCTCAATTAGAACTTACAAGGGTAAATGCAAAGAATGAAAATCTTAAACTTTACAAACCACAGAAGGTTTCTGTGCTCATTTCCAGGACCACAACCCTGGATGCAAGGCTGAGACAGGGACTGAAGATCAAGGAGCAGAAATAACGTATTCACTTAAAGCACATGTTGGTTTACTCTTACACAGAGGTCGTAGCATGAGGTTTGAAAGAATCCAAATTGAAAATAGCCTGATATTTCAGAAATATAAAATGTGATATAAAGACAGTGGCATATATTTATACTATAACTATATATGTATATTTATGTTTAAACATAATGAAAGACTTTGCTGAGCAAACGGTATACAGCTGAACAAATTCCTCCCCACTGCAGTGAGTGAGTGCCATAAGACAGCAGGCTGGCACACACTGCATGGAGCCTGCAGGGTAGCCTAACGAGCAAGAGCATCACAGTTTCCTTCCCGCTTACTTCACTGTTACAGACTACATTTCTAGGTAAAAAATTAGTGAATTAACAAATTTGTTTGGCTTTGCTCCCAAATGGTTACTGTCACACAAAACTATAACACATTTATTGGATTGGAGAGGGAAAAACTGCCTCATGATCTCAAGATAAATAAACGATTATGATCAATTTTATAAACCATATAAACATTTTAATCATTGTAAGGAAACCAGAGAGACCTTTACTATTGTACAAAGTGATTTCAGCAAGAATTTACTAGTATGCACTATGAACTCAGCAGAGGCTTTTCTATAGGTGGGGGAAATGCCAGGAGTTGGGAGGGAGAGATGGAGACAGGAAGAAAGAGGGGCAGGCAGCGCTTACCATGAGAATAATTAAAAGTCTAAACAGAAGATGATGCTGAAAATCAACAAAATAATTAGCAGTGGTGGTGGCAAGGACAGCTTTATTAAATACTAGTAGAGATCACACACACACACACACACACACACACACACACACACACACACCCTGTAGGATTTCTTTCTCCAATGATAAAAGTATACGATTGGGGTCTTTTTAAGCCATCGAATTCCAATTCCACTGGGACAATCCTACAGCTCTCAAGTATAAAGAGCAGAAGGAACAAGGATCAGCTCTTGTCTATAGAAAGGCAAAGTGATGGTCTTGAAGGCCAAGCGGCCAGCCTTGGGAAGGCCAGGTTCAAGCTCACTTGCAAACTGGAGTTCTTCCAGTTGTGCTTCTCTGGCTTTTCCTCCTAAATTCCAATAACAGCCACTTTATCCCAGTTAATGAATTCAATAAATTTCAATACTTCCATTTTCTATTCTTATGACAGCCATGAGCTTTCTGTTTTGTAAATAATAATAAAAAAAATCCCCCTTTCACCACTTGTTCGAGCATGTGTGTACATGCATGTGTGTGTGCCCATGTGTAGATGCCAGAAATCCACCTCAGGTTGTTTGCTCGCCTGGAGTCTACTGACGCAGCCAGGGACCCATGAGTGTGTCAGCCTCCGTAGCACCGGGATCACAGGCACGAGCTGCCAGGCCATGCTGTTGTTTCTGGATGGTTAAAGCCATGTCCTTACACACTAAACCACTTTACCAGCTGAGCTACTGTCCTGGTTCTGCTTTCACAGGTTTCATTCCACTGGTATCTCTTTGCCAAAGCTTAGAATCAGGTTTCCCTTCTCTAGAGCTTACACCAGAAAAACTTAGTACAGTACAGGAATGCCTAAAAAAGAAAGGAAGAGACCATTCTGAAACCAAGAAAATGGTGAAAGTTGGTTTGTTTTTTTTTATTTAGTGTGTGTGCGAGTGTGTGTGTATATGTGTGTGCCTGTGCCTGTGTGTGAGGAACCAGCAGTCAGTGTCTGGTGTCCTTATCATTCTCTACTTTATTCTTTAGTCAGTCTCTCCATGAGCCTGGAGTTGACTGTTTCAGCTAGACTAGGGGCAGTGAGTGAGGAGATCCTGTCTTCCTTTCCAGGCACTGGGCTTCGACCTGAGACATCATGCTCGGCTTCTTCTCTGGGTGTTAGGATATCAACTCAGTTCCTCAACCATGTGCAGCAATCACGTTACCTCTGACCATCCACCCTGACTACAGTACTGCCAGCTTCCACCCAACACTGTTCTTGAAATAGCTGTTCATAAGCTAAGCACTTAAATGGGTTAACTTTATCTTTAAAACTTCATTTTTCACACTATTCAAAATATATTAGCAAGAATCACTTTAAAGATTGTGGGTGACAGACTTCAAGAATACTACCCTCTTTTAAAACTGAGAATCTTTATAGAGAACACAGTGCCATCTTTCAACAATCCTGCCCACCCAGTACAGGCCCACAGTGAGGGAAATAACTGTACATGGAGACTACAGTCAGAGACAACGGCCTTGGCAACCTAAGATGTGAGCCAGAAAGTGAGTGCCCTGCATGTGGGGTGATCGGGGCTGCAGATCAGCAAGAGCACAGGCTGACTGAGGCTGGCCCCTCTTCTACCTCATTTCAGACATGGGTGGTGGAGCAGCTACAAGCAGCTTGGTCTGTTATTCAGGTGCCATGGCTAATATAAAACACAGCAGTTATGATTTTAATTTAAAGTCAATGAATGTCTCAAAGGCAGCCTTGTGTCTTTAGTCTACTTGAGCCGTTTCTCTTTGCACAGCACAAGGTTGAGAGCCAATTCCTTTTGGAAGAGGAGGGGAAGGCACTGGGGCACTTTAAAGACAATACAATATCCTATTAACACATCTAAAGTTAAAAAAAATTAAATTATTCTTTGGTAAGGCCCTGTCTAAAAACTGCCAGTGACTAGCACAATGTATCTGTGCCAGCTGCAGACTGCCTGGAAGAGGAGGAGATGTAGGGTGGCTCAAGGTTTTGCTCAGCATCCTCAAGTCATCCAGGAGCCAGACATGAGTCTGTGCTGCAGTCTAGACAACTACCATGTAAGCAGACAAAGGACCAAGTCTGCTTGGGTTTCTCTGTTGAGAACAAATGGAAACTAGGCTTCTTACAAGGTAGTTATTAACCACAAGAAAACCAGTGTCCTGGGAGTCTTTCGCTTTTGTTTTGCTGTTTAAATAAACTGTGTCTGACTTATCCTATTGTTTGCTGCCAGCCAGCCTTTCAGATGGTTTGAATGTAGGAAAATGAATATGTCATCTGGAGGGAAGAAAAAGTGATCAACACCAACAGCAACAAAAACATCCAAAACAAGATTCCGATGACAAACCCCACGGAGAAGCACCTTGCCGGAGAGGAGAGTGTGGCTTTGACAGGGGCTGACAGCACCGAGGCAGGCCACGTCAAACACAATACTACTACAGGCAAGAAAACAGGAACTTGTCTCTTCAATGCATGCATTTACAAAGAGCAGCTTTTCAAAGCACTAGGCCTTGCAAAAGCTGCCCCCTGGATACAATGTGTTCCCAAGGCCTGGGACAAGATACAGAGAAGACAAGCAGATGTGACCACGGCCCTAGCATTTGGCAAGACCGCTCACTGTCAGCTGGGACAATATCTGCCTGGACAGGGCCTCAGCTGCACGAAGTGAGCCGGGTCTGTGCTGTCACTGGAGGAGCGCCCGGGTGGCAGAGAGATGGACAGCACTGCAAACCGCAACCCTGTGTGGCCATCCCTCTCTAGACTCCCACGTCCCTCCCTCCCTCCCCCTTCCCCATCGTCAGTCTGTCTCCACAGACTACACTGAGCAGATGGGTGGGCTCAGCACTGCTCCTTCCGGCCTCCATGCACATAAGTATGAGGAACTTTCAGGCAATATTTTAACAGGACAAGGACTCAAATCCTTGTTTTCAGTGTTTTCTTTTAAAGCAGCCCTTGTCCTCGCCACCTTCCTTTGCCCTCCCCATGTGTCCTTGCATGGCTGTGTATGTATACACACATGCATGCACATGCATGTGTAGTTCAGAAGTTGGTGTCCCCTCAAACGTTCTCCTCTAAGTCAGGCTCACTGGAGCTGCCAATTCAGCCTAGCTAGGCAGCTTGCTTTAGGGATCTCCTGTCTCCACTTCCCAAGAGCTGGGATCACAGACCCGATTTATATGTGGGTGCCGAGGAGCCCAAGTTCTTGCCCTCACGACTGTGTGCAAGCCCTTGATCTACTGAGCCCCTTCTATGTCAGTTCTCCCAGGACACAGAGAGCAAGTCTCCACTGGGAACTGTCAGTCTTGGCTCTGATACTTTCCTCTCTGAAACTTTATCACCTGGCTTCCCATTCTGCCTCATCCCACACCAAGTCTCCGTGAAGGTGTTGTGTTTTAGGTCAGTGCCCTGAAGCAGGTGACAGGCTACAGT